AATGAGCAAGGGAGATTAAGGCACCCACTTGTGCGTTGCCCGAAAAGAGAGCATCGATTTCTGTATGTAGGTGTACATTTCTAAACAATGACTATAATTTAAATACAGTGGTACCTCGGGCTAAGTACTTAAGTAGTTCCGGAGGTCCGTTCTTAACCTGAAACTGTTCTTAACCTGAAGCACCACTTTAGCTAATGGGGCCTCCTGCTGCTGCCGCGCTGCCGGAGCACAATTTCTGTTCTCATCCTGAAGCAAAGTTCTTAACCCGAGGTAATATTTCTGAGTTAGCAGAGTCTGTAACCTGAAGCATATGTAACCTGAAGCGTCTGTAACCCAAGGTACCACTGTAGAAATGCAATGCACCTCGCCATAGTGAGGAAGACTCTGACTAAGGTGGCCAGAGTGTCTGCTCCTTGCTGACCAGGCGCTGCTAAACTACTGACAGGCAGCTTCAAGGCCCCTGCTGCTCTCCCTTCTTTTCATTCTTCTCTTGAAACCAGACTTGGACCAGGTAGCAAGATGTGGGGGAACAGCAGGGTAGGGGCTCTGTGGGTGTACCAACAGGAGCACCAGATATGTGAGAATGTTGTAGATACTAGGAGAGGATATATTGATTTGATGGTATCTTTCCTAACTCACGCTTGTGAGTCAGCAGCAGAGTGCATTCCCCAATATATAGCAGGAAGCTAGTTGGTAGATTTGTTTGAATCTCTTTGCTTAAGCAATCCAGTCTGGCTTTGTTCAGATTGGGTTTTGTTCCTAGTAAGTCCCTGTTTATCCCTCCTAAAAAGAATAAAGAAGCTTCTTTTAAAAGTAACGAGAAGTTTACTCACATTCAGTTCACAGTTGGATCCCTGAAGGCAGGCTTTAGCTTAGAGTTACAGAAGAGGGTTTGAGTTCATCCCATATGGCAGGGGTCAGCAAACCTTTTCAGCAGGGGGCCGGTCCACTGTCCCTCAGACCTTGTGGGGGGCCAGACTATATTTTGAAGGGGGGGAGAGAATGGATTCCTATGCCCCACAAATAACCCAGAGATGCATTTTAAATAAAAGGACACATTCTACTCATGTAAAAACATGCTGATTCCCAGAGCATCTGCGAGCCGGATTTAGAAGGCGATTGGGCCAGGTCCGGCCCCCAGGCCTTAGTTTGCCTACCCATGCCATATGGGAATGAGCCCATGTCCTGGTGGCTGAGACCCAGCAGACAGCAAAATACATCAGTATCAAGAGAGCATGGCATCAAAAGGAAGAAGAAGGGAGGTGGCTGCATGACCAGCCCCTTTTATGGTGTCTCCCAAGGTCACGCTCACCTACCTGGTCATACTCAGGGGGAGGAAGCTCCAGACCAGGTGTGACAGGAAGTCCTCCTAGCTGTGGAGTAACACCCCCTGCGTGTCCACTCTGGGCAAACAGGAAGTGTTGTACTTGACTGCTTATGTTACATCCCACAAGATTGGCTCCATCAGCACACCTGTGCAGGTCCAACCTTGCTGCTGCTACACACTTGATGGGATGAGCATAACAATATTGCTTAAGGGCAATAAAAGTTTAAGAAATACTCGTTTAAGTGGTGAGATGAATGGTTGATTTATTCAACCCTCTGTGTGCCAGTTTGAGAGTTCAGCTCACATGGAGGCTTCCACCCCTTCATTTCAGAACGTTAAAACTTTGATGAAAATGGGAACTGAGAACACCTGAGACTGTTGCATTGCTGAAGCTAAGCAGGTGGGCATTGGCTCAGACCCTCAAATGGAAGACCACTGTAAAAATGAAAGGGTGGGGGAAGAGGGAATAGCCTGTCTTAAATCACAGGACCTGTTCACACATTTGCCTTGCCCTGAGCAGCCAGACTGCCACCTGTTCTCAGCTGAATTTTGAATTTCTTAAATGAAGTGTAAGTGAATATGGTAAAATATGGTAAAAGTACAGAGAAGCCCTAACCCAAACCCTTCTGCAGTAATCTCTTTTGACATCAAAGGCAATAGAGGCATTAGTAGCCCAACTAGGATTAGCGTTGCAATATTGAATCAGTGGCCAATGGATGGGTTAGGTTACCTTGGTGCCAGAGGGACAACCTGCAGGGAGGAGGAATCACCTGCTATTAACTCTCACAACCCAATAGAATGGATGTGCTGGAGAGATGCTTGTGTCCATTCTTGAGATATATTATCTCCTCCTCCTCCTCCTCCTCCTTTTTTTGCAAAGGAAAGGAAATCCAACATGTTGGGAATGGAGCAACCTTGCTATTCTGTATTCCTCTGCATTTATCCCCATGCCCCTTACTTCCCAGCCCCGCTTTTAAAAGAACTTCAGTGCGACAGTCCTAAAATTTCAATACCTAGGAGTTATTTTTCAATACAATTTGGGGTGGAAAGCACATATTCAACACCTACTTAATAAGGCCAAAACTCTGTCATATGCGCTCCTCCGATTTTTCTTTTCGGATGGAGCTTTGCATGTTCCCTCGGCCCTAAAGGTGTTCAAGGCAAAAGTGGTTCCCGTGCTTGCTTATGCTGCCCCGCTCTGGGTCGTGATGACAGACCTTGCTCCTCTTGAGACTTTGCAAAACCAATTCCTACGTCGGCTCCTAATGCTCCCCTGTGCGTAAGCAACGCAGCCATGCGTTTAGAATTGAGGATCGCATCCTTAGAAACCTGCCTGTGGAAGCAAGTCTTCAATTATTGGTTATCATTGTGGCATAGATTACCAGACCATTACCTTGCCCAATGCTTATGGCGAGATGAATTCCCCAGCCTTTGGACCAGTAGAATTCATGCCAAACTCCTGAGCTATGGAATCTCTCCCTTAGATTCCCTAAAACTAGATCAAATCACTGCTCAAAGACTGATCCGCCAAAGACTGGATGACATCGATTTACAGCAAAATTATATGCTGGGGGGAGGTGTTTGTTCGCCCCAGAACATTGGTATCACTTTAACTTATTGCGTTCCATCATACCTCTCCTCCCTTTCGACTGTTGCCCATAGGCTGGCCTTCACCAAAGCGAGGTTTAATGTTTTCCCTCCAATGTCCTGAGACATAGATTCTCAAAGGGCCAAACCTCCGCCATGTGCGAATGTGATAAGGAGATGCCGGAGTCGCTTCAGCACATTATGTTCACTTGCCCCTTATTTAAGGTGCCACGGGCAAACTTGTTGGGATCAATCATACAGAAATTAGAGGGTACTCCACCAAAATTCCACCTTGCCCAAATCTTGCAGGATAAGGATGCCCATACGACCCTGAAAGTGGCTAGGTTCCTGGTCGCTGTCCTTACCCAAAAGCGTCGCCAAGGAGCACCACAAGCTAATTAAGGCGTAGTATGCCATTCCATCTTATAGTAGCTTATTGTTATAGTATTGTTTTAGCGGCTGTTTTTTTCCCATGTGCACAGGCTGTTATTTATGTCTTGTTTTTATCTGTATGGGCCTACGGCCGTAATAAATTATTATTATTATTATTATTATTATCAGTGCGACAGACGAGAACAACTCTTAAATGGCGAGACAATGTTCTCGCAGGAAGGAGAAACTTTGCTGCTTGAGATTAGTGACTAGAAATCTCAAAATGGCACGGGTGGCAAAGGGTTTTCATATTTGCACAGACAGTGATCAGCATCCTCCCTGGAGTGGGGCGGCAGGCATGCTCAGCTTCATGTGAAAACAAACGAAACATCCCCAGCTGGCTTTTCAGAAAAGGTTAAAATGGTGATAGCAGAAGAAAGGTGGAGGGGAGGAATGCAAAGCAGCTTGCTACGCTATGTCACAAGCAAAAAACATTGTGTTCAGTAGATTCTGCCCTTGAGCCAAAAGTATACTCATAGCAATTTCAGGAACTATTAATGCACGTGTACGAAATTGCATATTTTTTCCCCCCGGCTGCAAAGAGAAGCTGTAGCCTGGTTTGGAGTGGGGCCGTTTGAATCCCTCTGCAATGGATGTGCTAGCTGGGAGAACGGTATGCAGATCCCCCACAAGAGCTGAATAAGGGAGGGTTTTGCATTCCCTGTATAATAAACAATAATCTGGAATGGGCTGCAGAATTTGATAGTATACAGGGGGAGGGGGAATTTCCCTGCTGCCCCCCCCCCCGCCGCCCTTTGTTCAAGCATAAGAGGCACATAAGTCATACATTTAGGGATGCCGGCCTGAAGAGTTGTTTACATTTAGGGAAATGAAATATCTCTCTATGAGGAAGAGCGGGCAAGTTTTCTGGGGCACAGGGAGACCAGGGTGGAGGGGAAGACTCAATTGAATATCCTCTCTGCCATATGCTTGATGAGGAAGCATGCTTTGAATGGTGCCCATTCAAAGGGCACCTTCCGGCCCTACAGTCCTATGGGGGTGCAGTGATCCCACTGGGATTCTGGCACACATACTCTGTGGCTCGCTTGCTTTGCTCGGTAGCACATGCGTTTTCCTTTGTTTGCGTCAGCATATGTTTCTGAAGTCCTTGGGCACAGTACAGTGGTACCTCGGATTACAGACGCTTCAAGTTACAGACGCTTCAGGTTACAGACTCTGCTAACCCAGAAATAGTACCTCGGGTTAAGAACTTTACCTCAGGATGAGAACAAAAACCACGTGGCAGCAGCGGGAGGCCCCATTAGCTAAAGTTGTGCTTCAGGTTAAGAACAGTTTCAGGTTTAGAACGGACCTCCAGAACGAATTAAGTTCTTAACCTGAGGTACCACTGTACTACCCAAGTGTTGACTGCGATGATTTATTGCAGCATCTGTCTGGCCACGGGATAGCATGCAGAAGGAATTGTGGCAAACCTGAAAGCAAGTGGGATGGGTTGGGAGGGGTTAAGCAAGAGGGGCATGCCAAGGAAGAAATGCCCATCATCGCACATATACCTGTTCCTTGGTGTTTGGGCTGTGTTTTTGCACTCCCTTTGTAGGCCAAAATTGCTACTGTGTTTTTTGAATCACAATCCGCTTGTCCGCCACGTAGATGCTAATAAGATAGCCTTGCACCCATTTCTGCTGGCAGAACTTCATCTCTGTCACACGATGATTATGTTATGGAGGGGAGGGTGGCAAAATTCCTTTTTCAATGAATTGTTTGTACCCTATTTTCTGAAAATGAGGTACAAACAATTAATTAAAAAATGAATTTTCTGAAAACAGGATACAAACAATTCATTTAAAAAGGAATTTTGTGCTCCCAGAACATAATTACCATGTGACCAAGTGCAGACCAGGGCAAATTATTTACAGAATGAAATATAGTAACGGAAGTTCAAAACACCCCTCCCCAAACCCTTTAGAATTTCTCTGAAATGCTCTCCAATAATTCTCCAATGCAATTTCTTTCCTCACAAATTTACGATTCCCCATCAAACACACACACATAAAAGACATTTTCAGGATACTACTGCTTTCAGGTGGCAGGTCGATTGCTGGGTTACAGTGTCCTTATTTTTTATTATTTAAAAGCATTCATAAAGCACTAAATATTTAAAAAATATCCTATGGGGTTTGCATTTTTTAAAAAGTATCATTAAAACAGCAATATAAAAGCAGATAAAACAGGCATTCAGGGGACTGAAACACATAAATTGGAGTCCAGTATTATGGATAAGAGAAAACCAGGGGGTGGGGAGGGAAAACTGATGGTTGCTATTTCGTGTATGGGAGATGGAGGGGGCATTCCACAAGACAGGGGAAATAACAGAAAATAATTGTTTAGTGGGAGTTAAGCATGCATGGGCTGCCAAGGTTATCAGAGTTTTACTGGCCTTGCCAGAATATTATCCTCCTGGCATCTTGTCAAATTAGGAGGAGAGAAAGCCAAGGGTGGGGATTTGCTGTGTGTCCTCAGTATAATGCAAAGGTGTGTCCACCTGTGCGCGCCTAAATCTCTTTGCAGTGTGGGGAGGCAATGTGTCTCTAAATAGATGCTGGGAATCCTAAGTAGAGAGCATGTTGTCGCACTCATGTCTCCCACTGGCATCTGGTTGGCCACGGTGAGAACTGAATGCGGGACTAGATGGGTCTTTGATCTCAGCAGTGCTCTTTGTATGTTCTCAAGGGATCTCTTGGGGGTGCTCTGTATATGCTCAGAAGTATTCTATCCTTAAGTCACTTTCCAAAAAAATAAGAAGAAAAAAGAAGCTGTATCCATTATGAAAGAAAAGGTATTTTGCATACGTTCAGAGGTACCCTAGGTCCTTTTGCACCGGGGGGGGGGGGACTCCTCCCTGTTTTGGTTCAGTTGGCTCCAGGGCTAACCCCAACACTGTGAAAACCAAAGTTGGCAGCACAAGTAGTAGCGTAACAGAATATGGCAGCTGTGAGCATAAAAAAACAGGCAACCCACTTAGTGGCATGTATATACAGTGGTACCTCGGGTTACATATCCTTCAGGTTACATACGCTTCAGGTTACAGATTCCGCTAACCCAGAAATAGTACCTTGGGTTAAGAACTTTGCTTCAGGATGAGAACAGAAATCGTGCTCCGGTGGCGCGGCGGCAGCAGGAGGCCCCATTAGCTAAAGTGGTGCTTCCGGTTAAGAACAGTTTCAGGTTAAGAATGGACCTCCGGAACGAATTAAGTACTTAACTTGAGGTACCACTGCACCAGTCAGATTCCTCCTCTCCTTCGCTCTTGGATGAGATGCAAAATGGCCACTGAAGAGTTAACCAGGAGGCAGTTCTGCATGGAGGGCAAGCTTCCTGCAAGGCCTATGCACACACATGCTCACACACACAGAGCCATGTTTTGATTTGGTTCCCTGCCCCCACCCGTGTGACTGAAGCTCTGCCTTTCCCAAGCGCTTTGACTAAAGAGGAGTTTTGAGGGTTATGCGAAAGGGGACTGACCCAGATCACATCTGTTACTGGGCCTGCTGATGTTTGCAAGCCGAGAGTGACTTAAAGGCTCAGGAGGGCAAGAAGGGAGGCTGGCTAACTGAATTTTCTGAGCTGATAATTATATCCTATGTGGAACAAGGACTCTTGCTCTGTATTTCTATTAGTTCCTAGGTGGGTTTTTTTTAATGCACCAGGATGTGTTCAGATCGTCTCCAATTTAATCTCAAATAGCATTATGTTGTTGTTGTTTTTAAAAAATACTTAGCCAAATTGCTAAACTGGATTAAGTCTTAAACATGAGAGCATTAAAGGAGGAAAAGTTTATGTGTGATCTTTAAAATCCTGAAATAAACTGGTTTCCAAACTCTTCTCCGCAATCATGGGGTCCGAGTCTGTCACTTAAAAAAATATAAAGTGTGAAAATCAAAACTTCCCTGGTCTTAACTGTATGCAGGATAACTGTAAACCTTATGAAGTACACACATAACATTGGCAGTTGCAATGTAATTGACAACTTTGCACCATAAATTTCAACTGCTGAGGTGGATGTTGGAAGAAAGGCTGGAGTTGGTGCAGCTGTTTCATTGCTAGCGTAGTCACAAACACCAGGTTTCAGGTACACAGAATAGCCCCAGTGCTCTACACACCGTATCACCTCAATGCAGGCCATATATTAAATCCTCGGTGGGGGCAGAACAGCTTTTGAAGAAAAATATGCAAAAGAACTTAAATGGAGGTGAATGTATCCAATCTGCATAATGTGCTTCATTTTTATGCATACATTTCGTGATGGGTGCTCAGCTAAGGTTTGCATTAATTTTCTACAAGAGGACTAAAGACCAAAAAGCCTTACCTAGGTATGTGCAATGCAAATATTCAATGTGACAATGAGGACTAGAACCTACATTTCTACTTTGCTTTTAATCAAGCAGCTCAGCTACACACGCTAGTATTATCCTGAAGTGCACCCAGGCCACAAGAGCAGCAAAAAAATCCCAACTATGTGTGTGAGAGCGTGAGACAGAGAAAGAGAGGGGGAAAACCCTGGAGTTTTTGAGGCTTACACATGAGTTTGGGACTAAAGGACAGAGGTACCTTGGTTCTCAAACTTAATCCGTTCCGGAAGTCCGTTCCAAAACCAAAGCATTCTAAAACCAAGGCACCCTTTCCCATAGAATGTAATACAAAATGGATTAATCCGTTCCAGACTTTTAAAACAACCCCTAAAACAGCAATTTAACATGAATTTTACTATCTAACGACGAGACCATTGATCCATGAAATGAAATCAATAAACAATGTACTGCTGTCACACAATCAATCAGTCGGTAGCTGAACTGGGTTCCACACAGTCACAAAAACACAACAAAAGGAGCCACAAAAACACAAAATAAATAGCAAAAACAGGCCAACCTCAACGTAACACTCAAATTGGAAGCGTAACACTCACATTCAGCTTCCGAAAAAAGTTAGCAAACTGGAAGACTTACTTCCCGGTTTGCAGTGTTTGGGTTCCAAGTTGTTTGAGTACCAAGGTGTTTGAGAACCAAGGTACCACTGTAATGAATTTTGAGTATTTGGGGCAGCAACCTAGAAAATGTGTTTAAATCCCAGCAACAGTGCCTCTCTTGCACCCTTCTACTTCCTCCTTAGCACTGATACACCTGTCCATTTACTTGCCAGCCCCCTGGGATCAATTTGTCCCATTAGCCAGAAGGAGAGGGCAAAGCAGGTGGTTGGAAGCCGCCGCCGCTGCTGCTTTTGCTTGTCCTCCTCATAGTCATCGCTGCTTGCCTGCTTAGAGAGAGAAAGCAAGTGAATAGGCGGTGGCAGCAGCAAGGAAGAAGAGCCACAGGAGGGACTGGGGGCCCCTGCTGTGGTCCTCAGCAAGGACCCAGCCATACCATCTTCTGACACTAGCCCTGCACCAGTCTCTAAAATTAAATATGTGGAATAAAATTATGCATTTTAAAAGGTTGCCTTATAAGCTTTGGGATTTGCATGCACACACACAGAGAGAGAGGGGGAGAGCGAGAGATTCCTGGATGTTTTTGGCACTGCAGTTCTGCAAATCAGGGCCAGATCTCTTGAGGAAACGTAAGCTGCTCTGTGACAATTTTGACAGTGCTGCTACCAGTCACAGCCTGACCTAAGTTCAGAAGTATCTGGAAAGAAAAGCTAATGAAAGGCAAATTATTTCCGAATTTTCTTTGAACTTCAAAAGCCGCTTCTCTCCCCACCGCCGCCACCCATAATTTTCAGGTGGACTCTCTCGTTCTGTGAAGCGAGCACCTGAAGGGAGGGAGGGAGGGAGGGAGGGAAGTGGGGGTGGAACAACTCTTTATGGAAAGCAGCGACACATTAAAAAAGGCACTAGCGGTGATGTGCAATGCTAAAAATGTAGTTAGAAATGAATGATGGGAAAGCAGGTTAGCGTGCAACTGGAAAGCCTTGTTTTCTCCTCCCTGTGCATATTACAGATGTGTACACAACCACTCATGCGTCCTGATGACAAACAGTGACTGAGCATTTTATCAGTGCACAACTCCTCAGTCTGAATCCCTTGTGCAGCGGAGAGCTCTAACTCTCCTACCCTTTGCTCTCCATCTGGCAGGGGCCACTTCTTCAGCCGTTTGTAATAATTCTCTCCCTCCCCTCACTCTCTCTCTTTTGCTTAGGTGAGAGAAGTCTGAAAGGTCTTGGTTAGGGAGTTGATCCCCCCCCCCAAAAAAAGAAGCTTTGCTTCATTTACTTCAGCATATCAAACATCATATATCCTCAGCCTATGTGTTGACCTCTGCTTCCATGGTCAGTCCTAGTGTTGGACAGAATGAGGCAGCCACCTCAGGTATAATCAAAAGGCAGTGAATTCATTATTATTATTATTATTATTATTATTATTATTATTATAAATTTCCATTTAAATTTATTTGAATACATCCTTGTTATTAACTTAACTTTTGCTCATTATGAGCTTATTGACTTCCCTCCCTCCCGCCTCATGGTTTCCATATTTTATTACTATATCATAGCATTTGTACCTCTTCCAATTTATGTTTCGTTCATTCCAGTTATCAGAAATTTTTAAATAAAAATAAAAAGGTAATAATCATTAACATTACAAGTCTTTATAATCAACCCTGCTAGTGTTGGTAGTTGTTTACAATTGTCCTTCAAATATTGTACAAATTTACTCCAGTCTTTTTGAAAACCTTGGTCATGCTGGTTTTGGATTTTCCCAGTCAGCCTTGCCAGTTCTACATATTCCATCATCTTCATCTGCCACTCTTCTATTGTTGATATTTCTTGTTGCTTCCATTTTTGGGCTAAAAGAGTCCTTGCTGCCGTTGTTGCATACATAAACAGTTTTTGGTTTCTCTTTGGGATGCGAATTCATTACTTAACTTGTTACCAATGTGTCAGGGAACAGGAGAGGCGCTCGTGAGGTTTTCTGCTTCAGGTGGCAAAATAACATGGTTGGCTTTGGGTGCTGTGCACCTTGACTTGGGGATGGGAGATGCCATTTGCTGCTCAGCCTTAGGTGGCAAAGTGACTTGGGCCAGCCCCCTTTCCCCGCTGCCCTCAAACACTGAAAACTATTGCAAGCCTAAGTTTGGCCAAGTGACTGTGATGCTCAAGCTGTAGGAATGATTGCTGGGTGCGGAGCACACTCCCCGCCCGCAGGCAGCCTCAGCTACCTGCACGTGTGACCTTGGGGTGTGGGGCACACTCCCCCTCACAGATAAAACCACAGCTGTCTGAACATCTTGCCCTCTGTCTAACCTTTTGCGGTCTCAGTAGTCTGCGGTGTCCTGTCTGTGACCTTTGTCTCTGAGACCTTTGTCTCCTTAGTCATACACTGTGCAAGGTGGAAACAGGTGCCAAAATAACTTTGTACCACTGTGTAAAGGTCACAGCCCGAAATGTATCTGCCTGGGCTTGCATATTGTGTCAAGAAAAGGAGCCTCCACAGAGCTGGCCGGCAGCTTGCTTGCAGCTCACCTGTGCGCAGCTCACCTGCATTATCAACTCCTGCCTCATGTCCTTCACTTCACAAGCGAAGAAGTACTGTACACTGCTAGCTCTGGGAACAGCTGTAGCTCAGTGGTAGAATATCTGCCTCTCATGCAGAAAGTCCCAGGTTTAATCCCGGGAATCTCCAGGAAGGGGTGGGATAGAACTTTGCCTGAAATCCTGTAGAAACTGGTGCCGGTCAATGTAGGCAGTACTGAGTGAGGTGGACCAATGGACTGACTTGGTAAAAGGCAACTTGCTATGTTCCCAGGTGGCCAGCTCCATTCAAACACCTAGCACTTCTCTTCTCCCAGTGCAAGCAACAAAGAAGCATAGGCAAGAAGCAAGAATCACAGGGTAGCAGAGAGAGGCAGAAGAACAGGAGCTTGGGGAAACAGGAGACCAAGAAAAGCATGGTGTAGAGACAAAAGTATTCTTCCTCTTTTGTTCCCCTCCTTCGATTCTCTGCAGTTCTGCACTTGTTATGGCTACTCTCCAGCTGGAGAAAGTCATCTTGACTTCCAGTGGGCATTCAACCTTTCCTCATAGAGAAAATATTTCAGGAGGAGGCAGGGGGAAGAATCTTACAAGCATTACAGGCCCATATTTAGATAGAGCTACAATTAAACTGCAAAGAAAGCCATGTATTTTAAGAGCTTTTTTTTTTTTTTTTTTTTGCTTTCGACTTGGCAAATGATGGATCTGTTCTTTGCCTTAGTGTGCTTTGTTCTGACCCCAGTTTATTTAGCTGGAGTGCAGCATCTCATAAGGTAACACCCTGGGGATGATTGCATCACTTTGTATAGCACTTCGGAATCTAGGCAATATGTAGAACTCCAGGAAAATTATCAACATAGAACAATTGCACACACCCTTTTTCCCCTCCACAAAAGCAGGTAATTTGTATGGTATTGAAACAACTTTGCAAGATTTTGGAATACTCAAATTTTTAAATAAAAGAGCAGGTGTCAATGTCAAAATCTGAAGCTGAAATTCAGTGTTAAATTGTGGGGAGAATGTTTATATCAAAATTCCCCTCTTCAGACAGGTTGAAGGAATTACATTAACGTAAACTAAATTTTACTAAATTATGTTGCAGATCAGCTGTCGGATATTGACAAATGCTGACTGCTGTTGTATGCCAACTGTGAGATACTGCCAAATCTGTTGACTGCTGCTACCAAATCTTTCAATGTCAAATGCCGATGACAAATATCATCTGCTTGGTGAATATTTGTACACCCTCATAATGGCTGGAGAACATTGGCCTTGGAAATTTGAGCACCATTTGGTGGGAGGGAAGGATACACACTTAACAAATAAATAATAAAACAGAAGTTGCAGAGGCTTTTGAGGAGAACATCCTGAGGCAAATAAACTTAATATCACTCCCTAAACCAGCTCACCCGCATTTTATGAAAATTGTCACTATATGTTAAATGAGCAATTTGTCTAGATATATAGCTGCCCTTGATAAATAACCACATATACAGAAGGAATTCCTACCTCCTGCTATTGCAGCAGTGGGAAACCTTTGGCCCTTCAGATGTTGATGACCTAAGAAGATCCAGCCCTACTGGATCATGCCACTGGTCCATCTATTCCAGCATCCCCTTCTCACAGTGGCAGTCCATGGAAGAAGCCTTGAAGCTGCACATGAGTGCCACTAAAACTCCCATCAGCCCCAGCAAGCATGGCCAGTGGCTAGGGATTATGGGAGTTGTAGTTCGGCAATATCTGAGGGCCAAAGCTTCCCCCATACCTGTGCTATAGAGTAGTGATTAGAGTATCAGATGAGAACTGGGGAAACCCAGGTTCAAATTCCCGTCCAGCTGTGAAACTTCATGGGTGACTTTGGCCAGTTGCCATTTCTCAACCCTGACCTACCTCACAAGTTTGTTATGGGAGATGAAACAGAAGCATTCTGAGCTCCTTGTGGGGAGAGTGGGCCTTGGGATAAAAACATTAGAACGCAGCCTAATTAAACAGCACCTTGTAAATGCACCAAAGTTAATTCTTTGACAGGTATAAGCAACTTTAAAATTGCCTGGTGCTGATGAAGAACTTAATAGAAAAACAAACAAACCAAGTTGGTTCAGTTTAAAATGGGCCACATTTCAACTTGGGGGAATATGTGTACATGAATTATAAAACCAGAGCCAATGGTTTCAAAGCAAATGTCTTCTTTCTTTTTTTTTATAAGACTTCCAGTCATAAATGGAGAGCCATAATTTGCAGCGCCAATAAAAATGTTTGTTAACAATGCATGCTTAAGAAAGGCACAGAAAAGCTGTAAGCGATATTTACTGTGCATGATAAAATGATACGATCCCCAAGGTTAGGACATCCAAGAGTGTAGCTCTGTGTGATGCTCTGCTCTAGAGACATAATCTGGGCTTAGGGCACAGCACACATTGCAGGAACTGATGCAGTGTGTGCCAAGTCCAACTCTGGCTGGAAGAGCCATCAGGCATCAGCCACTGTGACACTGATACTCGGTCAATATTTGTGCACAGGGAGAGCAAATGGCTGTGTATACATCAGTGTTTATGAAAATTATACCAAAAACCTCTTAGAACCTGCAGCTGTTACCTCCATTCGGAGGCGATTTCATCTAGGTGGGGGTGTTTTGCCCTTTTCTCTCTTGGTCCTGAATGTCATATATTTGTGCTCTGCAGAAAATGGCCTCCTTATGCCAAGGAACTTGTATAGTGCTGGGAAACATGTGGTGCCAAGTCCAGCTTCCAGCTGAGATAAGAGAGAGCCATGGTGCTTGATTGTTTGTCCTCACCCGTCCAAGGGACAGAGAAAACCTCTTACCCAGAGCCCGGTTTCGATGGGAAAGTGGCCTGCTTGCTCCCTCGTGTCAGACCCAAAGCAGAAATGATCCGTTGACGTTACTCTCAGCAAGCGCCCCCTTACATTCAAGGCTGCTAGCAGGACTGTTTGCATGCCAGAAATGAAGGTTCCATGCTCATAGAAATATATGCAAAGTATTTAGACTTTCATATTTCAAAGTGCACAATCCAAAGTGTTGGTGCTGACCTTTAAAGCCCTAAACGGCCTCAGCCCAGTATACCTGAAGGAGCGTCTCCACCCCCATCATTATGCCCAGACGTTGAGGTCCAGTGCCGAGGGCCTTCTGGCGGTTCCCTCACTGCGAGAAGCAAAGCTACAGGGAACCAGGCAGAGGGCCTTCTTGGTAGTGGCGCCCGCCCTGTGGAACGCCCTCCCACCAGATGTCAAAGAGATAAACAACTACCTGACATTTAGAAAACATCAGGGAAGTTTCTAATGTGTAACATTTTGATGTATTTTTAATCTTTGTTGGAGGCCACCCAGAGTGGCTGGGGAGGCCCGGCCAGATGGGCGGGGTACAAATAATAAATTATTATTATTATTATTATTATTATTTATATGCTTCATTCACATACCAATTTTAAGTTGAGTGTTTGGGGTCTTTGAGTAAGTTGGAATATTTTGCCTAAGGGTTTAGAGAAAGGGAGGAGGTGTGGGCCCTCTTCAGACCCTCTTCCTACCACCCTTCTACCTTCTACAATGGTACCTCGGGTTAAGTACTTAATTCATTCCGGAGGTCCGTACTTAACCTGAAACTGTTCTTAACCTGAAGCACCACTTTAGCTAATGGGGCCTCCTGCTGCTGCCGCGCCGCCGGAGCACGATTTCTGTTCTCACCCTGAAGCAAAGTTCTTAACCCGAGGTACTATTTCTGGGTTAGTGGAGTCTGTAACCTGAAGCATATGTAACCTGAAGCGTATGTAACCTGAGGTACCAGTGTAATTACCATTTTAGCCAGTTGTCCCAAGCTAACAATTGTTCCAGTAATGTACCAGGGGTCTCTCAGGAGCCTCTTTCAGCTGTTCAAACTGTTCAAGGTGAGCCCTACCTAGTGGAAACGGGCCTTGCAGTAGAAGAATAAGAAGAGTTTGGATTTGATATCCCGCCTTTCACTCCCTTTAAGGAGTCTCAAAGCAGCTAACATTCTCCTTTCCCCTCCTCCCCCACAACAAACACTCTGTGAGGTGAGTGGGGCTGAGAGACGTCAAAGTGTGACTGGCCCAAGGTCACCCAGCAGCTGCATGTGGAGGAGCAGAGATGCGAACCCGGTTCACCAGATTACGAGTCTACCGCTCTTAACCACTACACCACACTGGCTCTTGTAAGGAGTGGTCTTTCTTCCAGCACTCGCAGCAGCATGTTTTTATATATGTTGGAAGCTGCCCGGAGTGGCTGGGGCAACCCAGGAAGATGTATGGGGTATAAATGGTAAAATTATCATTATGGAATGGGACGTCCCTATTTTCATCGGAGAAATGTTGGAGGGTTGTTACAAACTGCAGCTTGGAGTTTTTCCATTATGCCAAACCATGTCTGTCCTCCCCCCCCCCACCTACTTTTTTGGGCAAGTTTCCAGCCTGAAGAAGAATTTTGGAGAACTTGAGAGCCTGTTCACTATTTGGGGACGTTTTAATTGGCATTTGTAATGTTTCAGTAATTGTGTTGGCTTAAGAACAGAAGTGAAGGTTCAGATTTTTTTAATGTTGAGTTATGTGCCAGATATACAGCATGGGCAAATGTGTATTTATCGTGAGGATGCTGCGTGAAATCGAGTCTAAAAGTCCATTCATTCATTCAGTTTCAACCTCCCTGCCATTCCACATTTGTGCCCAAGGCAGCTAACAAAATATTCAGTCAGATACAGCACAGAAATTAAATCCAAAAGGCACATATAAACGAAAGCTACTGAATTGCTACTGATTTAAAATACTCCCATTCCTAAGGGTTGTTCTAAATAAATGAAGAAGCCTTTCCACTGCAGACTGGCCCATTAACAGGCCTGCTTTGGGAGGCAATTCCAGAAGTGCTAGAGCCGTAGCCGAAATGGCCTGCTTATATTTTCCTCTAGGCTTTCCCCTTCCAGACCCTTCAAGTGTCCCTATTTCCAGGGACAGTCCCAGATTTACAGAAGCTGTCCCGGTTTCTGATTTGAACTTGGCATATCCCACTATTCCTTGGGATGTCCCTATTTTCATTGGGAAAATGTTGGAAGGTATAGAGCAGGCATGTTCAACCGGTTCAATCGTGATCTTCTGGTCGATTGCGGGGCATCCCTGGTCGATCCTAGTT